CCCCCCCCCGAAATGGTAGGCCGAGGTAAGTCCTCTATGTACATGGTCCTCATTATGTTGCCACTGGTGCTGGCTAACCGGGACAGGGCATTGGCCTCAACATTCTCTGACCTCGAGATTTACCTGATGAAGTGTGACTGGAAGTTAAGCAGAGCCTCCTTTACTTTGGCCAAATAGGCGATCAAAGTTTGTTCGCGGGCTTCGTATTCGCTTGTAACCTGATTGACCACGAGCTGGGAATCGCTGCAGATGACGATGTGTTTTGCTCTTACCTCTTGAGCTAGGGCTAGCCCAGCTATCAATGCCTCGTATTCTGGCTCATTGTTGGATGTCGCGAACTTGAAGCGTAGTGCGTACTCCAGTTTTGTGCCACTTGGTCCGTGAAGAACTACTCCGGCTCCACTACCCTGATGATTTGAGGAGCCATCTACGTGAAAGATCCAAGGCTCTTCATCCCAGTTCGCGCTTGGCCTAACCAAGAGAGATACCGAACTGGGTGCGACCTCACGGTACTCGGACTCAACCGGCCTGGGAGCACCGATCTCACCCGGACTAGGGGCTTCGTGCTCAACCCGGCTAGGGACTTTGGAGCTGAATGTGCATTCCGCAACAAAATCCGCCAAGGCTTGGGACTTGATAGCGGTTTGCGGCTTGAACTAGAGGTCGTACTCACTGAGCTCGATGGCCCACTTCGTCAATCGACTAGAGACCTCGGGTCTGAGTAATACTTGTCTCAGGGGTTTGTCGGTGAGGACGATAATGGTATGGGCTTGGAAGTATGGGCGGAGCTTGCGGGCTGCAATGACCAATGCGTAGGCTACTTTTTCTATCTCCGGTTATCTAGTCTCTGCTCCCCGCAATACTTTACTAACATAGTAGATGGGTTGCTAGACCTGATCTACTACCTTTATTAGTACCGAGCTGATCACTTCGTCACTTGCTGAGAGATATAGCTCTAGGACATCGCCTTTTTCGGGCCGGGTCAAAACTGGGATACCGACGAGGTACCTTTTGAGCTCGTCAAACGTGAGCTGGCAACCTGGGTTCCATTCGAACCCTTTGCTTTTCATTGCCTTAAAGAAAGGCAGGCAGCGGTCTGCCGATTTGGACATAAAACGACTCAGAGCGGCTATCCTGCCGTTCAACCTCCAATCTCTTTTACTTTTTGGGGTGGTCTCATATCTAAGATGGCCTTTATTTTGTTTGGGTTGGCCTCAATACCGCGCTGGTTGATGACGTATCCTAGGAATTTACCCGAGGTGACACCGAGGACACACTTGTTTGAGTTTAGTTTCATGCTAAATTGGCACAAAATTTGAAAGACAGAATGCAAATCTTGTATTAATTCATGCGAAAATTGTGTCTTGACGAGCATATCGTCTACATAACATTCTATCTTAGTGTCAATTAAGGGTTGAAAATGCTTATTTACAAGCCTTTGGAAGGTTGCCCTAGCGTTTTTCAGTCCGAAGGGCATAACCTTGTAGCAGTACAGGCCAAACTCGGTTATGAAGGCGGTTTTTTCCTCGTCGGTTGGGTCCATCCTGATTTGGTTGTAGCCCGAGTAGGCATCCAGGAAGCTTAGCAACTCGTGCCCCGAGGTCGTGTCTACAAGGCGGTCGATCCTGGGGAGGGGGAAGTAATCTTTCGGGCAAGCTCGGTTCAGGTCGGTGTAGTTGACGCACATGTGCCACTTGCCGTTTGCCTTTTTTACTAGAACGGGGTTGGCTACCCAGCTCGGGTAAAGAACTTCCCTTATGAAGTCTGCTGCGAAGAGATTCTCAACCTCCTCATCGATCGCCCTCCATCGTTCTGGGGCTAGGTTGTGTTTCTTCTGTCTAATGGGCCTAACTACAAGGTCAATATTGAGTTTGTGAATTATAAGGTTAGGGTCTATGCCGGACATTTCTACCGTGGACCAAGCGAAAACATCTAAGTTATTGAGTAAGAAGCGTACCAGTTCGGATCGCAAGGGCTCCTCCAGGGATGCGCCAGCCTGAAGTGATCTGGCTGGGTCCTCTACCGAGACAGGGATGGGAACAGTCTCCTCCGTGGGCGCAACTCGCTCCTCGTTCTATTCCATGGGTCGCTCCAACTCGAGGTCGCTTGTCACCTTGGCCTTTCCCTTGAGGGCGGCGACGTAGCACTTGCGGGACTCAAGCTGATCGCCCTACACTACCTCAATGCCAAAGTCCGTGGGGTATTTCATGGCTAAATAGTAAGTGGACACCACAACCTTTAAAGCGTGGGTGATCGGCCGACCTACTATGGCATAGTATGGGGAGGGGTCGCAACCACCAAGAAGTCGTGCTTGAGTCTTACCGTGCTAAGCCACGTGCCAACTTCCACAGGTACTGTAACCTTTCCCAGGGGTCTGACCTCCTCTCCGCTAAAGCCGACCAGCGGGGTATTCGCGGGCTTCAAGTCACTCTCTCGGAACTGGAGTTTGTCGAAGGCCGCCTTAAAAAGGATGTCTGCCGAACTGCCGGAATCGACGAGTACGCATCGAACTTCGAAGTATCTTTACATGACGAGTGCGTCATCGTGGGGGTAGTGAATCCTGCGTGCATCGTCCTCGGTGAAGAATATGGGGTCTTCCGTCCTCGGCCGCTTCGGGGGATTCTGTTCTTCTCTAGCGGCCTCACAAGTTGATGCCCAAGCTACTGCCGAGGTGCAACCTGCTACAATCAATCCTCCAATGATCACATGGATCGTTCCCCGAACTGGCCTTTCCTTCGGGGGCTGCTTCTGTGATTGTTTTGCTGGCCGGTTGCTGGGCTCTGGGGTATCCCTGCTGTGCTCCCCCTGCCGACCTGCCTTATTATTATTGTTACCATTATTCTGTACAAAATTTCTTAGGTATCCACGATGGATAAGTTCCTCTATCTCATCGCGGAGATTCTTACAATGTTCGGTGTTATGACCACGGTCTCTGTGAAAGTTACAGTACAAATTTTTATTCCTTTTATTCGGGTTCCCTTTCAGACGAGGTGGCCACTTCACGTACGGGGTGTCCTTGGTTGTCATCAGGATCTCAGCCCGCCTCGCGTTCAAGGGCGCGTAGTCTGCCCGATCTGCCATGGAAGCTCGGAACGGATGACTTGGCTTCGCCCCCCAAGCTAAGTCTTTCTTCCTTCTGTCATCCTGGTTGGGAGGTTCGCCCTCCCTCTTCCTTTTTTCGCCCTCCCTTAGTTCTTTGGTAGATCTCTTCCTTCGTTCTTATGAACCTGTCCGCGAGCTTGAGGAATTCAGCTATGGTCGCGGGCTGGTTGACCACCATGTGCCATTTGAATTCCTTGTGCGCCACACCCCTCTTGGCTGCCGCGAGCTGTATTGCGGAGTCTAGGCGTGATATCTGTAAGCACGCGTCATTGAACCACTTGATATAGCATCGAATGGACTCCCCTTCCTTCTGGACTATCCCGAGGAGGCTCTCCTCAGTTTGGGGGCACCGCTTGCTGGTGACAAAGTGTGCGGTGAAGACTTGCACAAACGGGGTGCAGCTCCTTATCGACCCGGGGGCCAGGTTCCTATACCAGGTGCGGGCCACTCCCCTGAAGGTGGTAGTGAAGGCCATACACATGCAGGACTCGTTGGCCCTCGCCAGGTAAATCTAGGACTGGAAAGCATCAACATGATCACTTGGGTCAAAGGAACCGTCATATTTGTCTAGCGGGGGGAGCTTGAAATCTTTGGGCATGGGAACAACGAGGAGTTCTGATGACAGGGGGGAAGGGACTGAAAGAATAGGAGCAACTTTTACCTCGTCCGAGCTTGCTTCTTCTTTACCTCGGAGCTCGGGCAAGACGCGGGTGGTAGTTTGGTGACTTTGTCGGCGCCTCCGCTGCTGCTTGGAAGGTCCGGTATTGACGCTGCTTGCTTTGGTGTTGCCGAGCTCAATGGGCCCGAACTGCTGGTGGTAGTCTGCGGCCAGGACGCCGAACCGGTTTTCCGTGAGTGGGAGCCCGAACTTGGAGTGCCAAGGTGGTGCTGACTTGATTGGCTGGGAGGCTCCCGATCCACCGGCGAGCTGCGAAGTGGGGGTAGTTAGTCTTTCCCTCCTGCCAAGGTATGAGGCTTGGCTTCTGGAGGGGTTCTGAGCCTGAGAAGCTTCCCCTCGGTGAAGGTGCCCGCCCTAAGGAGAGGGCTTGACTTGCTTGACAACAGGGTGCCGAGGTGGGAGCCGTGGCTGGTTCTGAGGCAGTTGGGGGAACTGCTGTTGGTAGTGGTACTGAGAGATGTGGTGTAATACTGTTATTGTCCCGCGCGTAGGATCTCCTCACGGGTTGGTCCATGGTGAGAAGCCCTGCTTTTCCTTGCGCCTTCCCTTGTGTGCAGACCCTATTGCGGAAACTGAATGGGTGATTTGTCCAAGAGACCACCCGAACTCTCCCTTGGGGTGATTTGTCTAAGAGACCACCCGAACTCTCTTCACTATTTTCTTGATTGGAAAACTGAATGCCTTTAATTCAATTCGTAGCTCCTTAAATAGGAGATTACAGAAGGAATTTCCTAATTAACTCAAACTCCAACTTGAACTCAAACTCCTAATTACCTACTCCTAACGGTAACACAACTCTTACTTAAGATAAGATAAAGATAAGGATAGGATAAGATAAGGGATAAGGGATAAGGTAAGCTGGCGGCGAGTTGGCGGCAGAGCTGATGCGGTAAGATAAGTGTGGGCCCAGCCTGATGAGCTGTCATGTGGGCCCTGCCCTACTGCTACTGTCGGGCGGTGCGCGCGTCTCGCGGTGCTGTTGCCATGCGGTGCATGCTGCCAGGCGGTGCCTGCTGCTGTGTGTGCTACTGCCTTTGATTGCGCTGCAGTGCACTGCCGGATGGTATGACCATAACAATACACCCCTCCTGGACAACGAGCTTGTCCTCGAGCTCGAATTCCGGATACGGGGCTTGGAACTTTGCCAATGGATCAATGACTGCACACTATCTCTCAGTCCACCAACAACAGGGGTTGCCCCGTAGCTCAGTGCATAAAGCTAGATTATTTGATGCAGACCCCAGCCCCCTTCTTTAGTTTCCAGCTCCCAGGCGTAACCATGGCTTATAGTGACTACACGATCTGCTGCACTCAGGCCAGCCGCAAGGACATTGAAGTGTTCCCCACCTCCTGGGTCATATAGTTTGAAGTAGTTTTGTGGAAGATCCACACAACAAAAATCGCATACTAGACCACAGCCCCGGTGTGCTATGTTGTGGATCACAGGAACGCACCGAGTATACTTACAGAAGAGAACCTCAAGAGCAGTGTTACCGAAGAGAACCATTCGTTTTAAAATATCCCTTCGGCCTCCCCCATATATATTTTCCTCCATATTGCGAAACATAGGGTTGTCCCTGAACACAAAATCCATGCCATTAATATAAGCTTGAAAGAAAGTTACCTCCCTATCCTGCCCATCCACCTTATATCTCTTGCGCACCCCTGTTTCTTGGACTTCTGCATAGTTATCATATCGTGGTGCCACAACCGTAACTCTATGTCCACGCTAAGCCAAAGCCTTCGGTAAAACCCCAGCAACATCACCCAACCCACCTGTCTTCGATAAAGGAGCGCATTCTGCAGGTACCAATATAATGTTCGTGACATTGTCCTCAGCCAAAGGAGGAGACCTTACAGTTTCAACCTCTGAGCGCTGATCCTTGGTAATAACTGCGGCTGTAGGGGCAGCGATCTGCTGTTCGCTGGATGCCTCTGCCCAGTCCTGATGGTGACTGTTTGTGTTGGTGATTCCCTTAGGACTCCTTTCTTTGTTGGAGAGGAATGCTTCCAGGTGGCGTCGCAACTCCCGGACATCTTCCTTGACTTCACGAACCTCCATGCTGGTTTCTGCTAGCCTATGTTCAAGTTCGTTGACCTTGGATGATAGCTGCTCCATATCGCCCGTGACGTTTGGCTTTGATACCAAAATGTTATGGTCCCGCGCGTAGGATCTTGTCACGGGTTGGTCCATGGTGAGAAGCCCTGCTTTCCCTTGCGCCTTCCCTTGCATGCAGACCCTATTGCGGAAACTGAATGGGTGATTTGTCCAAGAGACCACCCGA